AAAGTGTGTTTAAAGTGGTGAAATAGCCACTTGAAATGTCCGAATTTTGCGAATTTTTGAACTTTGAGGTCGAATATCTCCTAAACTAAGCGTTTTTTGATCAGGAGAACGTCCTCTTTCCAACGGTACCTTCAAATCGCGGCGCCAAAGAAATCGGAATTGTGCCGCAAGATTAATCGAACAATTGATTTTAACCCCTTAACGTATTTCCACGAGTCTGACTCGTGGTACAATTTCTGTTCCTAACATGATTATCACGAGTCTGGCTGGTGGTGCGTAGAAGTGTATATTTGATAAAAAGAGAATTTAAACTTTCTCGTTATTTTCAGCTAATAATGTAAACAGAAAACATTGTTGCAGTTGAGTGCGTTATCTACTGTGTAATTATCCATATTTTTTGTTACGCGTTAAAATTAAATTGTAATATTTTATTTTGTAAAACAAGCGTGCGTTCAGTGCACGCTGTGTGCTAACAGTTGGAAGCGAATTTCCTTGCGCTAATTGATACGACAAGGTTTTAACTGGTTATTTTCTGTTCCATACCGGTTTAATTGTATCGGAAATGACCGTCCTATTAAATGCAATAGTAATCGATTTTTTCCAAAATAATCGTGAGTGTCACCACTCAAATTTTAATAAGTGTCTGTTGGCATATATAGAACCACTGTAGAGGAGGAGTTGAGTCACTATCAGCTGATGCTATGTAAACAAAGCCACAGCTGAGAGGTATCACTGTAGAAACGTCAAGGGGAGTCCGGGGTTGAGTTTCTATTGGAATCCAAGAACCAATAACCGGAAAAAGCTTGCATTGTTTTATTTTCTAAAAATTAATGGAAAAGTTGTCCCAAAAATATTGGTTATATATAAAAATCTAATATATTTTCAAAAGAAAATATTTTTAATATGTATTTTTAAAGATGAGAACAATGTGAGCAAACACATGAAAAATTAAGTTTTTTTTTTTTAATTTATGCCTTTTTAACTGTGGTAAGTTAAAAAATGTTTNACATGAAAAATTAAGTTTTTTTTTTTTAATTTATGCCTTTTTAACTGTGGTAAGTTAAAAAATGTTTACCACAGAAAAATGTCACGTACAAATAAGCAACCACAAACATGAAACAATCGAATAGTGGGGTATGTGGAATATGTTCATTCACAGCCATATTTATGTTTTTGCCATCGTAGCGGATGTTTTTGCAAGACAATTTGTTTGAGTTTATTTCATGGTACAATCCTTTTCGATGATTTATTTAGTTATTTTAATCTGGAAGAAGTGTTTGCAAATTTTCCTTGGGATGATAAATAACGGATCGACTGGGATTTTATTCCAATAAAAGTACCTACGAAATAACTAAATAAAATATTGCTGCGTAATTGGTTAGGTGCTGTTCCAATTTTATGATTTTAGAGATGAAAAAGCGATACGCGATGCTTTGAAGTTGGTCGTGAATTCGAGACAAAATTTTAAATTCAATGACATCCTCGTGGAAGGAGCACGTCGCATTGCTAGGTAAGCTAAAGTTAAACTTCATTTAAAAAGATTTGCCATGTATTTCTTATTTTTATTTTTTATAGAATCAGCAAAGAAGCTGGTATACAACGTTTGATTATTTGTCTGCCTTAAACGCTAGTCCCAAACCAATGACTTTGTGCTTGAAGGTGGAAGTAAGTTTTTGAAGAGCAAATTCCACGGTGAATGTGCTGTTCGGATGTTGCACAAGCTATTGTCAATTGCGCTAGGAATCCCTATCAAGCTGTTGGATAGGTTTTGAGCAAAATTGAATTTACATACTTTCTAATATGCTAAAAACTGAAGACCCACCCCCATTGAATGATTACATTGTGTTATGGGTAAAGATGAAAAATRGTGGGGATACCGTCGTTAAGGCATGCGTTGCGATCCTACTTTCCTATTGAAAGTCAAGTTTACTGAGCTTATCTGTCCTGGACAATTTTTTGCTGAGCTACATATGGAACGTATCGATCGCGAATGTATTACCGATGTCATCTGGGTGTACAATTGACCTCCATGGAAGAGCAAGTACCATGGGAATTGCGACCATATCGTGCTGCGCAATATTATGATACCGAATTGGGAGAGTTGGAAGAATCAGCTCCATCAAAACCGTTAGAACATCAGGAAGAACTACGTATGTTTGCATAAAACTACTATAATGRCAACAACGCTAACAACAACAGCCCAGCAAATAATAAACAACACTCATCAAATAAAAGTTGGTGGCGTTGATGGCCAAGCAGCGATTTGAAAAGAAACATTTGGATCTATGCGAATTACAATTCGTCTTTACATCTAGTGAATTATGGTCGATTATGATTAGTGTGGAAGTTGATATTTAAACTTTAAAAAACAAATAAACGTAATTTGGCTAATAATGAACTCATATTAAAAATTAAAGAATTTGAGTTGTATTTTTATTTGGGCCAAACAAGTTATCGATTTAAATAAATTCAAACGGAATATATTTCGAGCAATCATTTATTTGCAAAATAGTGTTGCGTAAGCTAATTTAAACTACTTTTTACTACTATATAGATATTGCAAAATCAAAAAATTTTCGAATTTGTTCATGAATAAGTTAGCTAAAACGTTTAAAAATATGCGTATTTATTTATATCTACTCAGCCGAAAGCCTTTGATGCTAGCGCTGCGTACTTTAGTTTACTTAATAATTTGTTTATTATGTAAGCTTTAATAAAATAAAAATAAAAATTTATATCTAGAAGATATAATTAAATCTTTTGATAACAGCATTAAATTTCATTATATAAGCAAAATTTAAAATAGTATTTATAAATGTATAAATATAGTACTGCAAATGTATAATTTAATATTAAAGCATTTTTGCTTTACGCAACCCGTTTTAACCTCTCGCCACCCTTATTCACCAGAGGTGACTGTGATGTTTTTATAGTAAACGTACACTTGGGGGTTAGGTTAAGTACTGGGAATGGCACTTTTACTACTCCCTTGTACCATGTATAGATCTTTTAAACATCTAAAATTAAAGAAGTAAGGCGAAAATGCCTCCAATACGCAGTGCACTGTGCAAGTACTTTACCAAAGAAAATTCATACGATGTACTATGCAAGTTGTGCTGCAAAATATTCTACATCAAATATGATTCAGCATTTAAAATTAAAGCACGCAGAGGAGGCTACGCCCCTAAGGCAAATAAAAACAA